AATTACTAGTAGTAAGATATGTATTACAGCACTGCTTCCTGTGATGTGTTTATTATGTGTGTGTATGTGACAAGGTAGGCTCATGAGGATATCGTGTGTTTGTTTTGTTCAGGTCGTAGGTGGGGGGATGGGATACTGTGTATTATCATAACAGAGTTAAAGGAAGAATGGTGTACATATGTGTTCTCTGTCTCCAGTTAATTTTTAAATTTGCAAATACCGGTATGTACACTTAGTAATAATGAGCAAGTTTATTTATGAATATGGATATTGTAACAGAATGCGACTGATAAATATTGCTTCATCTTCTTCCACTGGTATAGTTTCCACCATTAGACTCCTTTTTGGTACATTATGTCACTGAGGTAAACTCTTGCATTAAACATGTGTTCGGCTGATCTGAAGCTCATGTAGATTACCAAAATCCAGAAATTTGACAATGTCCTAATAAATAATTTTCATGTAGTGGTAACTGTGGGTGTGTATTCCCGCTGGGAGTTGTTGCTAGGTTACAGGTACAAAAAGTAAGTAGGAGAGGGGTCCTCTCATTATTATCTCACTATTATTCATTAGAATACCACAGCCAATCACAATGCATGGACTGAGCTAACTCAGCTGACTATAATATATACCGTATGAGGTAGTATATTAGTATGGTGATGTTTTGGCTTTGTCACAACAGTATAATTTCAGCTACAGTGTGCTTGTAGTTTCTATATTTAGACCCTCTCCTCTCGTCCATTAATTTTGCTATGGTAATCCAAACAGCAGTAGTAGCTGCAGACACCTGCCTCCTTGCCCATCTGGCAACACCCCAGTGGAAACACGTGTGTTTGACTTATACAGCCCAGAAGCAGACAGGCACTGCCTCTGGCCTCCTCATGTCCTCCTTTCTTCTCAGTTTCCTGTATACTCCATTTGTGCAGGCTCCTGTCCTCTTCAATACAGCACAGTCCAGGAAGGCCAAACTGTTGCTGTTGACATCTTCTCGTGTGACCTTGATGTTACTGTCCATGGAGTTGATGTGTTCTGTCAAGGCTTGCACTTCTTGGGTTTTAATTTTGACCCATGTGTCGTCCACGTACCTGTACCAGTGGCTTATTGTTTTCATGAAAATAAGAAGACAAAAGGTTTTTGACATATAACAATCCCCTCCCGCCCCTATCAGGTAAACATTTGAAATTGTGCAATACTTTGGTTAATGACTAAATGATCTGCAAAACTATTGACATTCCCATCAGCCTCAGCTGTGTTTAGTGCGAATAAGTAAATGTTATGCTAACATACCACAGGTGTAATCAAGCATTATTTGCAGGGGTCATGTCTCCCCCCCAATAGTGAAAAAATGCCAATCTGCCCCCCCAACGTACAGTAGAAAATATGTCATGTCCTCTGAACCCTGTCAATTGATCTTTCTCTTGGTATTTCCTATTCATTTTAATGTTTTTCTGTTTGTTAAAGAAAACATAAGTGTGTAAATCCCCCCCACAAAGCGTCAGCATCAGTTTGGAGATGCAGAAAGCACTCCGGCACAAAAACTTAACAAAGTACAACTGTTGATGGGGGCACCGGATTGTTGTGCGCAGCAGAACACTATGTGCTACTATTGGTCAACAGGCTTCTGTTCTTTTAATTCGTGCTGCACGTAGATGGTTTAGGACACCTGAAGACTGTAGAAGGGAAACCTGACTATTGTGTGTTCAGGTACATGTGTAGTTTTCAGTGGCCTCTACCTGTGAGGTTTCAGATCGCAACAACTACGTTTTCCAAGCGATGCTGAGTGCTTGTTCTCTGGTGACGCCGGCCTTGACGTTGGCTAGGTTGCCGCCACGAGGGAAGCTAACGTTGAGCTAACAGGAAGCTAACGTGAAGCTCACGTGCAGTCTGCCCCTGGATCAGCCGACCAGGGAGACCCTGTGTGTCCATGTTGCTCCACATTAGCTGTGGCTAATGACATCTAGCAATGGTATTGCTTGCTGCTGGCCGAACCTCGTCGCTCAGAGCAGACGACTGGTAAGCTATGGGTCGGAAAAAGCTGTGTGTTTAAATCTTGTTGCTCCTTTTGTGGGAGCTGTTGAACAAACGCTGTCTGTGCACATTCCCCACAAGGTTTGAGCCAGCATCATGGCATCATGTGTGTACTGAATACTTTATGCACGGCAGGCGACAGTGACACTGGGGAGAAATTCTTGTAAACTTTCTTGTAAACTGCATGACCTAGTATTGCACTTCACAGAACAGCCGTTTTTGACATTATAACTGCTGTTTCTCCACATTGTGTGAGCCAGCTGTTTGTAAGCCGGCTAACAAGCAACCTGGGCTTGCTGCAAAGCTGCACATCCTCTCTCCCCTTGCCCCCTTCCCTGTTATGGTCGGGTGGCTGGCCTGAGCCCACATGTACGCCAACACTGTCTTACCCCGCCTTCTTCCCTTGCCAGTTGAGTGGCGCGGCGATGAGCCCACAAGTGTGGGTACGCTGCCTCGTGTGGACTCCCTGGCAACACTGTCTGCTCCTGCCTCCCTCCCCTCACCAGGGGAGCGGTACGGTGATGATGTGTGGCAGCCCCACACCGTGCATGCAGGGAGGCACTCCCTCCTGCATGGCGGCGCATGCTGGTGTCCATGACTCTCCCTCCCCCCGCCAGGGGCCAAGCTCTCCTGTTTGGTGGAGCACGGAGGTTGATGCCTGGATCTGTCACTGTTCAACAAAACGATTATGGAGAGACCTTTTCGCATTTTGACAGTAAAACAGGTGCTGGAGTCTGTGTGTCAGGGAGATTGGCTCACCTCCATCGACCAGAAGGACGTGTACTTTCACGTTCCCGTCATCCCTGAACACAGGATGTTCCTGCGGTTCTCTTTCCGGGGCACCCAGTACCAGTACAACCGACTGCCGTTCGGTTACTCCCCGGCCCCGCACACTCTCCCCAAGCGTGTCGAGATTGCTCTGGAGCCGCTGCAGCGGGTGGGCATCAGAGTCCTGTTTTATCTGGACGACCTGCTGCTGCTGGCGCTGTCCCAGGATGAGGCGGTGGTGCAGAGGGCCAAGCTTGTCACACACCTGTTTCACGGTGAACTGGAAGAAGTGCACTCCTCTCCCCTTCCAGAAGCTCACCTACCTGGGTGTGGTGCTGGACTCCTCTCTCTGGAGAGCATGGCTCTCTCAGGATAGGGTGGATGCTGTGATGGAGCTACTCGGCCGTGTTGTTCCATAGGCGGCTGTGACGGCTGTCTTGATCATGAGGCTTCTGGGCCTCATGTCAGTGGCTCACGCGGTGGTCCCCCTGGGTCTCCTGCACATGAGGAGGGGCCTGGTCGCTGTTCTTCTGTCTGTGGGTTCAGATCTAGCCTACTGGCGTGACCCCCTATCTCTGTCGGTTGGGGTTCCCCTGGGCAGGGTCGCTTCCTATATCTTGGTCTTCACAGACGCCTCCTTGATGGGCTGGGGTAAGACCTGCCTCTCTCAGATGGAGGGCGGTCTGTGGCAGGCCCGCATTCCTCTGCACATAAACTTGCTGGAGTTCCTCACGGTGTGGAAGGTGGTCCGAGACTTCGCCCCTATGCTGCCGAACCAGCATGTGCTGGTCCCCACCAAGAACAAGGTTGCAGCAGCCTACATAAACGCACAGATTCTGTGCTTGTCCAGGCGGCTGCTCCTGTGGGTGCACACTCATCTGTCCCTGGAGCACACACATGATGCTGGCTCATTCGTTTGGCCTGATTGTATTTTCTTTATGGTCAGAACATGACAAACACTTGATGCCAAACAGTGCCTTGCTTAACAAATCTCAGGTAGAACATTCAAAACAACATATATGCATGAGTAAAATTAAGTAAAATCTTTTTTCAGTCCCTTTTTCTCAGCATAATAAATATCTTAATAGAAAGTGAAGTGCTAATTTGTTTGTCATTCAAATGAATTAAATCAAATATTTATTGAACATTTGTTATATTGTTATTGAGAAAAATGATATTGTGATGATCACAGAGACACAGACCGACTTATCATGTGTAATATCTCGTATCCTTCCATATGTTACCTGTACCCACCTAGCCTGTGTGGGGTCAAAGTTAATTAATTTAATTCATCAATTTAGCTTATTTTGTGTTTAAAATGACAAGGGACTCTTTTGTCACCTCACCTTTTTATTTCTCTTACATCATACAGGGTTAGTAATGCATGCACAAGAATACAGCTCAGGCACAATTGCAGAGTGCATTTATATTTTTAGTAGCCCTGGTAGCTGATATATCACTGGCCCAGAGCTGTCCTTCTAACAGTGGAACGCATCTCTTTACATTGCTGCCCTTAGGCGTGATCAAAAATAACTGTGACCACTGGGACTTCACAGTTGGTTTGCATCTAAGCGATGCAGCTTGCCACACTCTCTGCATGTAACCCCTTGTACACTAAATATGTTGTGTCTACTAATTACTGTTATTCTCATTCTCAGTGAGTACTAACTGACATTGAGAGGCATACTCTTCCTCTTTTTAGATTATTTGGTCATATGTTGCCTCGACACCAAGGGTCCATCTCCAAATTCACATTGCTGACACTTAAGTTTAAGGTTATGTGTTTCTTAAAATATACAAAAATATTAGTGAATGCTAATTTAAAAATCATATTATGTGTTTTAAATATTATTTGTTTATTTTCTTTCTTTTGACTAATATTGTGTCATGCTTTAGTTCACTCTTTATCATCAATATGTCTGTGTTTGCATGTGTTTCAGGTGTAACCCCTAACCACGCATGTCCTGCTCGTACTGACATCTGTTGTGTTAGTACAGAATATTAAAGACACCTACAGTTACTGTATGTGCCAGTACCTATAAATGAGCTTCTCAGCCTCCTGTTGGCATTTTTGCTTTTATAAGGGTGTGCTTATTGTATGCTTGGAATCTTGGACGAGATTGATCATTTATGGACTTAAGTTCTCAGTCACACCTGTTCTGTTTGCTCTTGGTGGTCACATGTGGTCCTGTTGCTCTCTCCAGAACAGGCCACCAGCAGTACAGGGGTCACCCCTCAACGGCCAGCCCCCACCCTGCATGAACCCTGCCTTGATGAACGCTCCCTGGGTGAGAGAGGGGAGAAGTGGGGTCATTTTTTTTCCATCTCATCCAAATTGCATCCAGTATAATCCTTGCAATCAACTACAGTATTTACTGACATGACATGTGACAAGTTATGATTTATTTCTCAGTTTTCTCCACTAATGTGGTTAGAAGTTAAAAGGTGATTTCATCATGTTGATGCACTGTAAGGCTAATTCACCCCGTTGTGTGTTCATTGGGTCACAACAGCCAATGTTGATTCTCATCTGTGTTATCGCTTTACTTAAATTGTTCATTTTGACTTTATTCATGTCTCTGGATTTACATGTTACGCAGGGATCTATTTTGTCTCATATACATCTGTTGTTGTTGCAAAAGATGGGTATTAGCAGGGATTTCTAAATGTGTATCTAAGAAAATGTTACCCGGAGAACCTATTCATGAAGATACACCATAAAGAATCCCACAAAAATAGAAACATTTGTACTGTTTGTACTTTATACAAAATGTACGTTTACCAACTTGAAATACATTCCATTAAGCCCTGTCATAAAAATGTCTATCTTTGTAAAGATTCAAATTTAATAGTAAGGTTTTGTTGACACTGTGTCAGTGTTAATGTAACTCCGTGGTCATTTTGAGGCCACTGTTTGTGGTGGTGTTGTGTGGGATTGCATTACTTCTGAAGGTGGGGTAATGCTTGCTTCAAAGTTATTTGAGTAAGTTTTTGAAAACAATACCTAGTTTACATAGAGAACATAAGACTAAGATGGTAGAAATTACAGCTTGAAAATCATTGTCTTAAAAAGAACCTGGTTAGTATCTACAGAAGGTAAACATAATATATTCTATATCTGGGACACTGCCCACATATAATTCATATTCCATATGTATATATATACATAATTAATGGCTTGCAACAAATACAATTTGAATTTAAAGCATATGACTGTACTGTGAATCTGGTGCTTCTCTGGGTGCCTGATAGTTTGGCATCATCTTTGATTCATTGTTTTTTTTTTAAGGAAACTTCCGTGTTTTATCAACATCATTCTTTTCATAAGTCAGAATATTTAAGCATTGTACAATAATTGCACCAAGAAAAGAAAACATTGATACAAGTACATACTGTAGATTATCATTATGGATTATTCTCCTGTCATTTCTGAGAACAGTAACATGAAGCCTGTTGTTACTTTTTGTGTTGTTGTTTATCAGCATTTGGATCTCATCACTTCTCTTTGTCCATGTCTTTCTTTCTCTCTCAATGTCCACCCTTTTCTCTTTCTTCTGTTCCGCTCTCAGCAGTACCACTACCAAGAAGACGACTCACCACCTCTTGACCAGGGATTCCCGCGGCTCACCAACGAGGTGCGCGCCCCTGAGCTTGTGCACGTGTCCGAGAAGAACCTGTCTGAGATCGAGAATGTGCACGGCTACGTGTCCCATTCCCACATCTCTCCTCTCAAGGTTAGCACTGCAGCCTCTCTCCTGTCATTCCAAGTATGGGCTTTGCACCTGCCATAGAAAGAATGATGCTCCAATCTTCATCCCAGTTCAGCAGCAAGGATGACAACATGGTCTCTCCTCAGTCTCTCTCCCTCTGTTTGTCTTTTTAGCTTAAATATGATCACATACAGTGGTTTTTAATAGTTAATTTTATATAAATTCATACTTCTTTTTGTGTTTTGTGTAGACAACATCTTGTAGTGTTGGACCAAGACTGCTGGTAATCAGGAGGATAGACACAACACCCAGAAAAATTACATTAAGCGCTTTTAATTTACTTCGTCTGTTGGGCACAAATGGTAGAGAGTAGACAGTAGTTTATGGTTGGATTCAGGCCACTTTTGAAATGATGTTTTTTGATGAAACAATATATGAATTATGCTTACTTTATGTTTCCTCCTTATTGTTTTTGTACATTTGCTGTTCCTTTTCTTTCTTTTGATGTGCTTTCCTGATCCACATACACACACTTTGGTGGCAATAATCTGGTTGTCAGATTGTATTAAAATTTTCATTAGAAGAGGAAATTATAAAATACAGTGTTCATATCCCTCCTTCTCTGTGCCTTTACCATACCTTGCACACATTTTCCTTCTGCATTGTCTTGAATCATTAAAGTTCCAGTGTGTGTCCTGATCTGGACTCCAGCCACTAATATCTCAGTGCTTCTCTCTGCCCAAAAGCGTACCTCCATGTAGAGTCCAAAGTTGTCATCATCATTCCAGCTGTGTTGAGAGGTCTAAGGTACATAGTACAAACTACTATATCATTACAGTTGTGTTAAAGATCAGATGGAGTTTGTTGAGAAGTGCTTGTGTTTTTACTCAGGTTTGAGCCAGTAGAGGGCAATGTTGGAAATGTAGAGAAGGTTGATTGTGTCTGCAGTTTATTTCATGCAGTGTTTGAAATCCTTGGAAACCCTTTCTTGTTTCAGTGAATGGAGAATAAATTGCCTGCATATTTGCTGTGCTTTGATTCACAAAACATTTCAGTAACAAGACTGTGATTTGTAGTTACTGTAGAAATGTATTATACCACTGATAAATGCAAGGTCTATGGATTTAGCCAGTGAAATTTTACATTATTTAATATGAAATATAGTGATTTAGAGTCAGTATGTTTAGGAATGCCATAAAGAACCTTGTCAGTGGAGAAATTAATATTTCTTGTGTAAATGATGATTGTTAGAATACATTTGATTTGACGCTTGCACCTGACTGATTTAGACATTTGGACCGGCCTGCTACATAACAGCCAGAACTCAACACATTTCAATGTGATTTTACACAGTACTTACATGTAGTATTGCTGTTAGATGTTGATCGTAATGGTTTTATCTTTGAATATAAGATCAGATGATGTAATCCTCATTGTTTTCTTTTTGACATGTTGGAAATGTCACCATCTACTGTCAGGAGCTCTGAGTGCTTCAGCGCTGTTTGCACACTCTTCCTGTGTTGTGTCATAAAGCAATATCTGTTGGTGCCATGATGTAATCCAGCACACTGTCTGTGACATCTGACCCACTGTCAAATGTTGTAAAATGTAGGTAATAACCTCGTGGGGGCATGCCAAATGTCTCACTGATGATCCTCATACTAACATTTTAATTTTAAAGAGGTTATTGTTTATGGAAATGTGATGCACTGCGGTGATATGGCCTCTAACAACTTTTGGGTTCATTTTGTTGCACTGTGCTTTAAAGAAAGCTGCTTATAATTTAAGGCCTAGCAGTGTGAAAATGCTAAATGAGCAGGTGGGGCCAGATATGCTGTCTCTGCACCTTTATGGGTGTTGATTGTCACAGGAGTGATATTTTCAAGTATGACAGTTAGCTGTCATTCAGTCACTGTTGGTATGTGTTTATTGACAGTGAACACAATACTGTCCTTAATTTTCATTAGTGCAGCAGTGATCATCATGGGCAGTCGGTCTGTGATGAGTATACTGTTGTATTTCATTGACAGAAATAATGCAATAATGTAGAGTGATACCCCCCACCCCCCCCACCTCCTCAACCTTTCCTCCTTCTCCTCCCTTCAACATGTGACAGGGTAATCATTTGACCATTTCTAATGCTTTTTTATCCTGATGCATTAGGCTCTCTCTCTCTCTCTCTCTCTCTCTCTCTGTCCAAGTATACTGGCTAGTGATCTTGTCTTTCGTTTCTTACCTGCAGCCTGCACTGGTTACCCGTTTTGATCTTGCGTACCCCGGTGTGACCACAGCAAACTACATGGCAAGTTTTATTTTATTTCATTTTTTTAATTTTACCTCCCCAGTGTTTTTTTTGTATTACTGAAAACTCTTCCCAAAATTCTGGGTCCTTGTACCCAGAAGATTGATGTAGATGCATGGGCTTTCTTTTGGTATTGTCTTCAATCCATTGCCTGAAGAAGCAGTCTTTCCTTTTCTTATGGGTTGTGCCCTTTTCTTGTCATACCCACACTTTGTTAAATAACCCCATGTGTGTTTGTGACCCATTTGCTTGCCACCGAATTCCATGTGCTTGTTGTGGTGTTACTGTGATCTGGTGTTAGTCAGTCTCTGATAATGATCATGTATTATATGTTGAAGAGTTACTGTATGCGGCTCATGTGTTTATCAAGGAATCTCAAGGTTGCTCCATAACTCTCAGCTTTTAGCACCCAAAATGAGGCCCATCAATTCTTTTATTAAGCACCACAGATTGAAATTGCACTAGCAGACTGACTTATCCTATCAAAAGCACAAGTGTAATAACATAAAGACTTTTTGGTGTGTCCTCTCACACATAAAAGAGTTGCTTGCTTTTCTCAGTTTCATATCACAATACTAATACTACTACTTTTGTTTTTTGGTTTTCAGAACTGCTGAATGAGCAATTCTAACACATCACTTTGTGCCTTTTTGATGGAGATTAGTTATTACTCATGACATTTTATCAATTAAAAAATTCATAGAATAACTGAAAGATAAATCAATCATAAAATATAGCCGCAAGCGGCAGTGTGCATGTTCAGACCTTTTTGCGCTCAACAGAAGGAACAGCCGAATCAGTCAAAAGTTGAGCCGCGAGCTGCAACAAACTCACTTGCCGTTTCAATAATTGCGCACTCAAACTTGCACCATTTGTCCCCCCCTTTATCGGATTTCGGATAACGAAACTCTGTGTGTATGTTCAGGAGAAGGGGTGCAGGGTGTCTTGAGTTATGAGCAAATACATACAGTATCTCTCAAAAGTGATTCTATCTTTCCATGTGACAACACTGGAGAAATTACACTTTGCTACAACGTAAAGTAGTGAGTGTACAGCTTGGATAAATTTGCGGTCCCCTCAAAATAACACATCACACAGTCATTAATGTCTAAACCGCTGGCAACAAAAGTGAGTACACCCCTAAGTGAAAATGTCCAAATTGGGCGCAATTTCATAACAGCAGCTGTCACGTAACTTAGATGTCCTTTTGATGAATGAGGAGAGGAAGCTAGCAGGCGTGTGTTGCCTTGCTTGCACAGTGTGCGATTGAAAATCAGTAGTTACGCGTTGACATTAATTCTTGAGTGACGTTTTAGTCGCAGCGTTCATTATTCAGCAGTGGCCCTGCGCCGAAAACAGGGGAACCATGTCTCTGTAATGTGCACGTCAACATTACCTTATCAATTTAGGGCGGGCCCTGAAAAGCCAATAAACACAGCTTCGGTTCTCCTTATCAGCTTAGCAACATGGACTGGAGCAAGAGTTTCAGAGTGGTGAGTTATTAATCTGTAACAAAAGTATGTTTCATCCATAAAGTTTTAACTGAGCTCTGTCTCTACATCACAGGAACAACTTCCTGTCCACTGACTGCCTGGAGGGTAGCTAGTGTTTGTTGATCCTTAATGTCTATGGGAAAGGCAGAGTGAGAGAGATGAGTGTGAGGGAGTGTTGAACAGGACTAGGACCACAAATTCTATGCTCATCCTGTTTGTTTTCTCTCAGCTGTGGGACTTTTGAATGAAAAATTGCTTTAATACAGCCGGTGTAATTGTAAAGGCACCAGGGAGGCAAGAATTATGGTTTGTCTATGATCAGAGGAAGTGTAACCCCTCCTTTGCTGGCCAAATTAAGCACCTCAGATTGGAGAGTGTGACTCAGGGAAGAAGTTATTGATTCTAACTGCTGCAATGTTTATCGATCGTCAGCCTTTTTCAGTGGCAATATCAGCTTGTAAAAACACATGCATTTTTTGGCAGCAATTACTTCTCTGTCAATCAAGCTGGGTGAAGTTTATAAGTAAATAAATAGCAGTATAATGAAGGCTGTAGCAGCAGTCACTGCTTTATGGGGTAGCAGAGGTTGGATCAACAGTGCACTTTCTTAGTACAAACTTTCATCCCATGGGGAAACAATCGCTTTCTCTCATCCACTCCCTGTTGTCATTATTCCTTCTCCGTCTTCTTATCCACACAGTGGGAGGGCCTGATTGCCTTGTGAAAACTTTCAGATTGGCTTTTCAAGCCACCGCTGGTTAGTGGGGATGATGATAACAACAGTGCCACCAACAGCGACACAATGAGGATAGGAGAATCATTTTCAGTGAAACACTACATAAATGCATATCATGATGGCATTTTGTGGAAAGTTGGAAAAGCATTTCATTTGAGAATCACGTTGTGTTTTTTCTGCACATATGGCAAGTTTATTTTATGGAAACTTTCAATCCCAAAGAGAATTCAAAGTTCTTAATGCCACATTATACTACAGTCAGTGTTAGTAATTCATTATAAGCTAATATAAATTTAGCATGGTCTCAATTATAAAACTGTACGTAGTGTGTATTATAATAGGCTGTATATTAACTTATTGGGAGAAAACTGGTAGTTCTATGTAAAATCAGACTTTGAGCCCCCAAATCGCCAAAATGGCATGATCCTTGTTTCGATGCGAAGCTTCGACTGTGAGATTGACCGTCGAATCAGGCTCCGGCCATTGAAGCATC